AACGCTCAACCCTACTCCCCCGAACCTACAGCAACAATTATGGTTCCTGTCTCCTTCCGAACTGACTCTTTCTCGTTGCAGCCAAACTCTCGAGCAAGCCTGGGCTATGAGTTCCCCATTTCCCAACCCTAAACCCTAAACCCTGATCTCTAAACCCTAAACCCTGATCTCTAAACCCTAAACCCTAAACCCTGATCTCCAAACCCTAAACCCTAAACCCAAGTCTAGCGCTTTGGTGTTGAGGGCCGGACCCAGTTGGCACATCCATCATGGACCCAGGCCTCAGCTCAAAAGGGTTCCCTTTAAAGGGGCGGGGGTTTAGGATTTAGGGCTCATGGTTTGGTTTAAGGTTTTGGGTTCAGGGTTTCGGGTTTAAGGGCTTAGGGTTTCGGGTTTAAGGGTTCAGGGTTTACGGGTTCAGGCTCTCGGGTTTAAGGGTTTAGGGTTCTAGGTTTCGGGTTTAAGGGTGCAGGGTTTAGGGAAAAGGGTTGAACATGGTAAGGGCTCCCTTGAAGGGGTCTGGGGCTTTGGGTTTGAGGATTAAGGTTTTCATGGTCCCTCTAAACGGGATATGGGGTTAGATGTGAAATGACAGGTTCAGTGAGCTTCACTGCTTTAAGAGGAATTATGGGATTGTCCAGGGATATATAGGCTTCAGGGTCTGAGGCTTTCGATTGGGAGGGTGAGTACTGTAGAAGCGAAGCCAAGGGGACTGGCTGAAACCGGTTAAGGATTTGGGTTTAGGATTTTGAGGTCAGGGTTTAGGGAACCTTCAACGCTCGACCGTCAACCATGAAAAGACCTGCTTCGTGAACCCACAACCTTATTATTGCTGTGGGGGTCCTAAACCCTAAACCCCAAACCTGAGATTCTTAAATAAAAATAATAAACCCTAAACCCTAAACCTAAGCCCAGAACGCTACATGTCCCTGCATATCCCTAATATAGCGCTCCTTCTAGAGGGTCTGAACACCTTACTGGAAACTTCCAGAAAACAGGGGGAACCCAATATAGACCGCGAAATACTATGACGCTTAAGATGAGGATCCCAAAAAAAAACGATCCCGGTCTTCGTGGCTTGCTCTGTCAAGCAACCCTATAAACCGTAAACCCTGAGCCCTAAACCCTGGACCCTAAACCCTGAGCCCTAAACCCTATACCGAAAACCTTTAAAACCCTAAACACTAAACCTTTTAAACCCTAAACCCTAAAACCTTAAACCCCTAAACCCTAAACCTCCTCTCAGCCTAAGGCCACGTAGGTGGCAATGGCAATCTTCAGCTCAGAGTTTTGGTCCAGCCTTTGGGGCTTAGTCTTAGGGTTCAGGGTTTAAGGTTTAGGTTCAGGGTTTAGGGTTTCGGGTTTCGCTAGGATGGGCCCTTAACCCTGAAATCCTTCTATAACTACTATATAGGCCCTGTACGTAGCCCTTAGAAGATCTTAAGGGCCAGGTTAGGGGCCCATACTTCCAACCTTAGATTTAAGGATTCTGGTTTATGGCTTTTGGGGTTTTATGGAGTTTATAAGGTGTTCGGGGTTTAGGAGTTAGGGTGGGCTATTCTAGGTTTATCAAGTCTTGCTATTTAGGGATTTCTCCTATGATTTGGAGGTTTGCAGGCTTGCTTTCTTTTATAGGGTCTAGAGCTTGTAGGGCTGAGGGTCTTGTGTCAAGGTTTCAGGAGCTTATGGATTTTAAGGCTTAGGGTTTGGAACGGCAGGGCTTTGGGGTTTAGGGTTTAAGGTGTGTGACTGTTGGCACTTTTGAAAGGTTTGGGTTTGGGAGGGGAGGACCATGCCATGGGTGGCGGGGGGGGGAGGTAGGATCCCCAGGACCGGGAACATAGACATGGTACCCCACCCCCCAAAAAAAACATGTTTAGCATACTTTCTAGCACTCGCCAGAACCGTGAGACAAAGCGCAACCCTAATCCTTATGTTTTTATGTAAAGTACCCCCCGCCTTAGGGCTCAGTGCTTAGGATTCAGTGGCCAGCCCGCCTTCCACCCAAACAACAAAGCAGCCTATACATGTGGATTGCTTTTTGGAAAACAAGGGGCTATTGTACCTTAATTAGGGAACTTAGAGATATGTGGAGACTGCACAAGAATTAGGTTGAACGGCCAAAGCGAAGCGAATTCCTTTGCCACGGCCGTCGCTGCCAAAACTGCAAGACATGGTTGCCAAACTCCTGCACCCAATGCATGGTATAGCGGATGCATCGTGTGGCTGCCGCGGGTATGGGTTGCAGTCGGCAAGCTCGGGAATTGATCGCAGGTGCGCCCAAGGTCTGGCATACTAGCCTCCAGCTCCCAGCCAGATGTACAGCACCAGACGCCACATCTTAAAGGCATACATCACATCGCAAAGTTGCCTTCAGGAGTGGTGGACCAAGAGCCGGTGACCTTCGCAGCGAACATTTGGAACGAAAGACAAACTTGAAAAAACTGTCATGGTATACGGATCTAGGGTTTAGGCAATTGGCAGGGTTTAGGGTTTAAGGTTTAGGGAATTGGCAGGTACATCTCGATACAATTAATATTTTTTGCCGCCATGAGAGGCTCTAGGTTGTTTTAGAAGATCATAACTTGGGTTTCCATACCTAGTTTCTACCAAGCACCCTAAGCACTGTATGGTTTAGGGTTTAGGCTTTAGGGTGTCTTTGCCGGAAGCCCTCAGTGGTGAGCCCTGCACCCCGGAGATCGGAGTCTAGAACTATAAACATGACCTACATCGGGCTTGTACAAGTAATGAAGGGCCCCAAGCAATTTCCAATATCATCTTGAGGTCTGTGTGAGCTGCACTATACCATAATGATACAAGGCAAGGAATCTAGAACGATACTATTGGTAATTCTTGGGGCCCCTTTTTTTATGCTCCTCTACCATCCGTAGTAAGGATCCCAATGAATCCCTTTGAATGCCCACATACTTCTCGGGTCCCTACGAGCCTTACCCTAAACCCTAAACTCTGAACCCTAAGCCACTATTCATCATGCATTCCCCTAAAACCTCACCTTAAGCCCTAAAACCTAAACCTTCTCCTAGATGAACCCAATGAGAACCCAAAGGGGTTGAGGGCTAAAGGCTTCTACAGGGGAAGTAGGGGAACCCACGAATACACGAGCCATTTATCACAGGTGGAAGATTGCGAGTTGCTCACCTTGAGTTCTGGGTTTAGGGGTTTGGGGTTTACGGGTTCAGGGTCTAGGGTTTAAGGGTTTAGGGGTAGTTCAGGGGTGTAAGTCTGGGGCCAGTGCGGCACCCCGACAGCGAAATCTTAAGCCAAAACCCCCAATCCCAGGTCCAAAGCTCAAAACGAAATGGCAGTGAAAGCCGAAAACATCCTAAACCCAAAGCCCAAAGCCCTAAACCCTGAAACCCTAAAGACTGGATCTGCCATGGAAACCCCTACATCCTCAACCCTAAACAATACAGGCTGTGTATCGGAGGGCTTATAAAGCGCCAGGCTTACATAAATTTTCAGGAAACTTCTAAAATCTACACCCTCAACCCTGAACCTAAACCCTAAACCTCGAACCCTGAAGTACACGGACAGAGGGTGTGCTGGCCTGCACCGAGGGCATGCGCGGTTTAGGGTTTAGGGTTTCGGGCTGCTCTACTTGGAGGCCCATGGGACTTAGTATCTACTTATAACTGGGATTATAACCCTACTTTAATTGGGACAACTCCATTTAGGGGGATTATAAGTAGGGTTATAAGCCCAGTTATAAGTAGTTATTAAGTCCCATGGGCCTCCAAGTAAGCCCAGATATGAGCTACAGTCCATACTTCCCATATGAGGCATAGTCTAAACTCCTAGTAACCCCTTTAATAACCCCTATAGTAGTCCCCTATATAATCCCCTGTATAACCCCCTTTGAGGAGTTTAGACCGTAGCTCATATATTAGAGTCCCTCCCTTAACCCTAAGCCCCTTTGTGGGGGGGATTGGAGTTGTCTGCAGAGGTATATAGGTAGGGTTTACGAATCACGAAAAAATCAGATGGAGATAACAAACAACGAAGTGGACACTGCATTTCTACAGGGGCTCATAAGGATTAAGATGTTCCTCTTCGCCCCTATATACGGACGTTCTCAAGGGGATGGATTGCAACATTTCGGAATCTACGTGGGGGTCCCCTTACTTCGAGAAAGTATCATATTGAGGATAGTCATGACTGTGATAGCAAACTGTGGCTGGTAATTGGTGTCAGTAGTTCGTAACTTAAGAACTTTTACCTAGCAACTGGAACCTGGAAAGGATCTATCTTGAAGTTCTTAGAGCAACCCATACCACAAAACGTATAAAAGGAGCCCAAGATATATTGCCCTGAACCCTGAACAAGCCTAAATCATGCTAAAGGAAGGCCGCGGAAAACGAATGTGGCACCATTTGAAAACTCTCTTCCTAGTTGATCGCAGTTTTAATTTCCCTCATGAAGTTTGTTTGTTCATCCAGGGACTTACTGGTACACAATGTCCCTTAGCCCTAAACCCTAAATAATATGGATTGCACTACTGTTCCCTGGAAGTACTAGGACTGCTGAAGACTAAAAGGATTTAGGATTCAGGGTTTAGGGTGTGTTTCTTGAGCGGGTATACTTCGGAGGATAGTCCCGCAGACCTTGCTTAGAGGACCAAAAGGACCTAGTGAGTATGGCTTTTATCCCCCGACAAACACAACAGAAGAACCCCAGCTATCCCTGTTTGTATTTAACTAGCCTACTTACTAAGTCCCCTGACCCACCTACTTACTAAGTCTCCTGACCCTCAAAAGTACTATACACACTTGCCAACACCCACGCGCGGACCGCGCCATCTTTCCTCATTGAAAATTCTCGCCTGTTTTGGCAAGCTTGCAGCACATTGGCCAGCATGCCTCTTGCCCTTTGGGATGCATAGAGTTTGGTAGCTTCCTAAGATAGAGTCCCCCTTTCTTATCGACCCAACTACTACTGACTCCCAAACCCCCCAATTTCGCCAAGTCTTGAGAAATACGAGATCACTCGTTGGCTTCCCAGACCTTCCACACCTTACCAGTGCCTGCATCAGCCAAACCCCATCGAATAAGCCGGCCCACTTCTCCTGCTTGCTGCAAACTATCCATGGCACACCAGGAGGACAGCAGACCAGATCCTAGGTTCCCCAGTAACCCATTAATAAGGGCACCCTGTTTCCTACTATTCAGCTTTAATAAGCAGACCCCAAAATGAAAAAGGGCAAAGGGTAGTTACTACTGGGGTACCTAGGATCTAGGGTCGAAGATGAGCGATTGCAACTCTGCGTTGAACTCATCAATGCTAGTGCTGGTGCTGATCTTGTGGAGTATGAGCTCCTTATCAGCATCGGCGGATGCACGCATACTCCGAACATCCAAGTTCCCTAAAGTGTGCGCCCGTCGCATGAGGGTCACTTTGGACGGAAGCTGTAGTGACTGCTTCATCTGCAGACGCCTAGCTTCTGCGATTTCGGCGACACACCAAGCGCGATTAAACAAACCCAGAGATTGGTCCACCGCAATCACTTGCCTGCAGCCTTCTGTCGTCGCAAGGTGGTACATCATGTCGTCAAACTTGTTGATCTCCGAAGAGGTGTCTCGACCATCTGGGTCAGAGATGTTGACGCTGCTGCATGTACAAATTGGATGCAACTGATTTGTGATAGGGTCGCGGTCGCAAGGATTGCTGTGGCAAATGGAGATGTGTTGGTTGACTGCGAATGCACATATCCAATATGTGTCATCCAAACGACCACGCTGAGCCAGGATATCACAGACGAATGAGCAGTCTTCCTCCAATAGCTTTGCTGCAAGATTGAAACTGCATTCGCTCAAGGCATCCGAAACGACGGCTGCAAGCAAATGATTGAAGCTGTTCTCCCAATTATGAGTCACCTAGGCTGTTCTTTATACTACCTGCCAAAGATGTGGTTTTTAGTACTTCTCCTACAAAAAGGCAACCGGCTGACCGCACCAAGAAAAGAGATTGCAGCGTTAAAATATACTAATGCTAAGAATTTACTAAAGTCCTGTACAAAACAAGTCACCATAACATGTGGTGTTCGAAGACCATCCCTGTTCTAAGCTGAGCCAGCGTATGAAGATTCCTCTCCGCTGGTGAGAGGAATGATTGCCCTGCGAACCACATCTGTGGTCTTGTGATCCTTGGGCGAGTATCGCCAGTCAGGCATGGAGAGAAGGTCTTCTTGATAGAATTGCAAAAGGCTGCTCAGGGTCATCCCCCGCAGCGCGAGTTCTTGAACTTTTGCCTTCCACTCGGGTGTCCAGGTAGGTTCTTTTGGCCGTTCCGCTTTGGACTGCCTTCTACATATCCGGCAGGACGTCTGTGGATTGCTCTGATCAGGTTTGAGTTGGCAACCTGACGTGAGCAGCCTGTGGCCGCCGCACAGCAGCAGCACGGCAGTTGCATTTCCTGGGTTGCGGTTATGGGATGAGGGTCTAGGTTCTGAATAAAGCTACTAGAATAAAGAAACCTCATGACACACTATCTTCCCAGGAATATTTTACTTCATGTCCCTTAACAGCAACCCAGTTTCCCAGGGTGTCAAACGCTTGGATGAACGATATCCCCCAGGCAAGAGCCAGCTGTTCCTCATCAGAACCTCCAACAAGCAATCCGAAACCATGGCCAAGCAAGGCCGCTGGAAAGAGCAACATCGTAGATGCCAGGCTAGCGGATACACCAAACACCTGGGCTTAAGGACCCTAAATTAAGTTACCATACTGGGTATATATCATAATTTCTAGGGATTTATAGGGTTTATTAGGTTACCATACTGGGTACATATCATAATTTCTAGGGTTTCCCCAAATATCGTAGCTTAGATTAAGTGCCTTAACAGCAACCCGGACACTTGCAGGGCTGCAAACCTTCGAGCTCGTCTCAAAGAGGATCCCGCGCATGGCGCACCTGTATTAACCCCCATATAACCCCTATAATCCCTATATAACCCCTATAATCCCTATATCACCCCTATAATCCCTATATAACCCCTATAATCCCTATATAACCCCTATAATCCCCATATAACCCCTATAATCCCTATATAACCCCTAAAATCCCCATATAACCCCTATAATCCCTATATAACCCCTATAATCCCTATATCACCCCTATAATCCCCATATAACCCCTATAATCCCTGTAGTTTCCGTGTTCTTTTCCATTATCCCAATATTACCTAAACTCACCTGAATGCTCTGCCGGCTGCAAGATCCTGTGCAGCTGGCGGAAGCACTGAGTGAGGGAGTAGATCGCCACCACGCTTGCTGTAATGTTGCACGACCAAACCAGTAGAAATGGTCCAAATAACAACGACAGCAGCAGTAGGAGTGGATGCTGCTGAAGAACAAAGCTTAAGGGCGTGAGGAGGAACAAAAACAACGAAACTGCCAGCAGGATGACACCAAAGACTTGTACCCAAACAAGTCTGCGAAAGCAACGCACGCAATGCTTTTGATTGGAGCTTCGCTCCAGCAGGTCCAGTCGAGCAGCAATAAGCATCTGCATCCAAAACAAGCCAATCACGTAAAGAAGCAACCTCAACGATACTGTGACAAACCAGGCAATCCCAAGATACTGTCCTGGGTTGCTGTTAAGGAACTTAAATTAAGTTACCATATTGGGTATATATAGTAAATAATAGGGTTTCCCCAATATAGTAACTTAACTTAAGTTCCTGAACAGCAACCCAGTGTCCTGGTAT